AGAATATAATAGCATTAAAATTCTATTATTCCTCTTTATCTCAGCCTTGCAGTATCATCTTAAAATAAATTGACTATATTATTTTAATTATTTTATCATAAAATAAAATATGAATTTCCGTATTCTTTAATCTATAAATCATAATGGAAAATAAGAAAATTAAATTAGAAAACATATTTTTCGTGATGTTACATAGTCCCCAAATTATTAATTCCTAGAATAAGTATAAAAAAAAGTTTTGATAGGCTTAGCTTTATTACGGACAAATCCCTTTAATTATATTCCTAGACATTAGACTTATTAGAATATTATTCTAGTTAAGACTAAAACATGCATATAGTTTCTACATACATATTCTGTAAAGAAAAAATTTGGGTCACAAATGTAATGTTTAAATGTGTTTAGGGTCATTATTATAAGTAACCAAAAGTGATATAATTCAAGTAAATTATATGGCTATAAACATAATTGTCATGAAAATTATTGTGTAGATACCTAAAGTCTTATTTCTATTTTATGATAGGCAAAATTGGAAATAAGTAAATGAAGTAATATATCTCTTCACGTAAGGATATGCACTTCTTATAAATAAGAGGTTATGGTCCCCAATTGTAGACCAAAACATGACACAAGATGTCACATCCAAACATGAACAAAACCAAGTTATTCTTTTCATCCCATTAGAGGAGAAACTAATGATAAGTGTGGTCTACAATTGGAAGGTCAAAGATGTTCTACTATAAACATGTATTTGCATACAATACAAATGATATGAAGTTGGTGGATACACGACAAATTAAAGAATAATATAAAGTTTATTCACCATATTCTATATGAATATATTAAGTACGTTTTCGCTCAAGCTCTAGTTCTATATTTATTCTTGATGATTTGACATAAAAAACATCCAATATAAAATATGAAAGTATTATTCATAATCTAGTCATGCTTCATATACATAAAGAGACATCATACTAGAGATCTCTAGTATTATGTATATTTATTTACTATATAACAAACAAAACTCTTGTCATATAAGCTATGACATGTCATCACCTCCTACACTATTTTCCCTCTAAAATCTCTCTACATCTTAGTGTACACCCTCACATAGAAGATCAAAAACTTCTTTTACCATTTGTTTCAATTTGAATATAATAACTCATTAATAACTTATTAACAACAATTTTTATTTTCATTTTTCAGTTTGTTTCATTTCTACCCATATCTATCCCTACCTCTTCTCTACCATACATTGAGAGATTTCATTAATCGAATTTACTTTGTGGTAATCACAAAAAACACATGTTTCTCTATTTTTCTCAAAACAATCTTCATTTTCTCCTATTTCATTTCATTATGCTTACTCATTATTGTTTTTTTTTTCTTTCTCTTCCAACAATCCTCTTTCTAATAGATTTTTAGATTTTTTTTCGTTTATTTTTTTATTTATTTTGTAGATTTATTCTTATTTTGTATATCTCATATATTTAAAGTGAATTTTTATTTATTTTTTTGTTCATTTTGTATATATGTTCTTATTTTGTGATTTTGTTCTTATCTTATCATTGATTTTTGTTTATTTTTCATTGATTTTCTTATGTTGTACATGCATGTATTTTAACTGATTTTATTTTTATATATTTTTTATTCAAATAATCAATATTTTTATTTTTGTTTCGCATGTTTTTACAAACACCTAGAGTGTATCCTTATCTTAAATTTCTTTTGATTTAATTTTCATCCTCATATGTGATATTTGATTATGTGTCTTTCAATAATTCAAATGTTAAGAATATAAAGTTTTGTTCATTGTTTTAAAAGCATATTTGCAACTGAAAGTTAACCTAATCATATTATTTTACTTTTGAGTCCATGTTATCTAATTAAAATATATTATAGTACATTTTTTCTTCATTTTATAATTTCATTGAATTATTAACCATTACACATGTTATATATTTATTAAAAAAATGACACCATAATTTTTTAATACCTCAAAAGCACTAATATTTATTAATTGTTAATTAAAGATAATAAAATGTCATAAATTATAACTTATTGTTTTCTTTTCTTTTTACATCTATACAAACTTTTCAACTACTAAAATGGTCAAATATATATGAAATGTGAATAATTATGGAATAATAACGGTCGGAGAGAATTACTCTCGATATTTAAGAGTAATTAATGTAAATAATAAAAGATAAAAAGTCATATAAAAATACATAGTAGAATGACAATAAAGGAAAATTCATAAGGGAATAGAAAATGCATAGATGAATAATGACATTAAATTTTGTTATACTATTGTAATTTATAATTGAATAAGTGAATAAATATCGATAGCATTGAATAAATATCGTCGATTAGTTGCAAACTAATAATTAATAATTAATAATTACTTTGAATAAATATCGTCGACCATTATGAAAGAAATAAAACTGATGAATATAATGGAATAGAACACATATTGTCATTTAATATAATGTTCAAGTTGATGATGATATGTCTGCTTATTGGTGAGATCGATGATTCTATTCAAGCTGAAAAATAATGTATAGTAATTAATCACTACATGCAAATTAGTATGTGTGCTTTATTTTAAAATAAACTAAAAATGAAATATAATGTTCTCGTTTCCATTTATTAATATTGTTCATACATTTCCATTACTATCTTTAAAATATTTTAACAGTTTTGATCCTAACTAATTAAGGTCTCCATTATTTTGAAAAAAGAATCAAATTATATAATTACAACTTTTCAATTTCAAAGGTCATTTATTACTAAATTTTATTTATATCTATTAAAATATTATTTTCAAAGTTGTTAAATTAAATAATTAAACTCGTATTTATTTTGAAAAAAAAATCTAAGTAATTAATGACAAATTCTCCTTTTGTATATTTTTTTTAAAAAAATGAAATAATAAACCAATTATACTAACAACTAATAAACAAGTTTACGAATGATCAATATAAATTTTTATTATATTTATTAGCTAACCAAATATATAGACTATGAAGTATGAAAATCAATCGAAAAAGTACAAAAATGTATGCTAATATGTGTTTACGAATGCACATGTAACAGATGTGTTTTAACCATGTAAACGTACAAATAACGTGTGTTCTTAACCATATGAATGCACATGTAATGTGTGTTCTTAATCATACAACAAAGAAATATCGTCCATGCAAATGCATGAGTAACTAGCTATTTTATGTATATAAAGTTTCTCACACTAAAATCTATATTAAAGATTTTTCCTACATATTCAACATCTATAATTATATTCAAAGTAATAATCAAGCTAAAACAAAAATTAAGAATGAGAATAAACCATAAAAACTATTGCCTGCAATCAATATATTAATATGAAATAATATACATATACATTAAGTTCAATAACTACTTATAATCCCATCAAAAGAAAAGTTAACTACTTATTTCCATGGTGGCTAACAGAAAGGAAAAGAAAAGATGAAGAGCTTCCATGGAAAAGCATTAAGATGAGCTTCCCAAAGTTGCAATAATTCAATCTTCAACTCTCTCCCAATTGGTTGCAAAAGATTAATACCCAAAACCAAAATCTTAAAGTTCTAAAATTATAAGTTATGTCGGCATAGTTAAATAGAGAATCTACATATACTAGTAGAAAATATCATAGACTTTTTGATCGAGAAATTTCTTGCTTAACGATTTACAATTTGTGGTTTCAAAGATCCTTAATCTCACTAAGCGAAAAAATATATTCTCTTAGTTAGTAATCTTTGAAGCCATAAATCGTTCCTTGACTTGAACCCTTGCTTTTCTTTTTTTCTTCTTCCAAAATCAATCAAAAAAATAGAAGATTAACTATTAGACATTGATAGGTGCATACACTATTCATATCATACTCAATTTGAGTCAAATAGGCACAACAAGTGCGTTCAAATAGAGTGAAAAAGTGCTTAAAAAGTTAAAATAGATAAGGCAATAAAGAAAAAAGGCACATTTATCACAAGGCATAGTGATCATCTAAATCAGTTTTGTAGCCTTAGACAAAATCTTTTCATTACATATAGAAACATGGATGGAACATTTGACATCATAATTAAAAAATTCACATCTATGACTAATATTTGGCTTTTTAGCAAAGAAAAATATTATTTGTACCTTGCAATATCAACTACTTTCTTTTTTTAAACGTCAAATCAACTACCTATAATATAAAGTTCCTATTTTAGGAAAATAAATCCCAAAATGGAAGTTGTTAGAGTTAATGTACAATTGAAATGCAAAGATAACATTTCTCAAAAACAAACATGTAATAGGGTCCATCCGGACTTAAAAGGATGGACTTTTCAAGTATGTGAAAGACATTTTCTATTCAGATAAATTAAATTCAGAGATTAGTTTTATATCAATGTTCTGAAACTTGAGCCGAACATCAAATTGGAAGAGGTTTCGTATTAGGTTTAACCAATTTAAACAGTTAAAGCATCTGGTCGGACTGAGTGATTTTAAATAATTAATAATTTTTATCTATAAATATATAATTATATATAAATGTAATTTTTTTTTATATAATTCATAATTTTATATAACTATATTGAAATAACATATCTCCATCTTTTTTGGACCGAAATAAAACAAAACATTAGATTAATGTTCCATTTTTAAAATTTTAAGTAAACTCTCCGGTTCACTTCCCGGTTTATTCCAGTTTAATCGGGTTTAGCACGGTCGAATTGTAATTTATCTGTTTCAAAAAGCGGTTCAACCACTCATTCAATTAAGACTACAAACCAAAATCGTTTTCAAGTCCGATCAACGAACAGACAGGTCGGACCGTCCGGTCCGTTCCGGTTATCACAACAATGTTTTATATAATAAAATGGTGTAAGAAAATTGGTAAACAAAATTAAACATATTTAAATAGAGGATTAATAGAATAGTTTACCTTATGCATATTGGATAATGCAAATGATTGTAAAAGAGAGATTAAAAGTGGCAGCAAAATTGCTGGGCAAATCCCCTTTGGCAGTGAACAACACCTCTTAGTATTATTTGTGTCATGTTATGGTGTTGTTTCCTGCCAAAAGGGAAACTACCCTGTAATTCAGTTACACTTGGCCACAGAGTACTAGTGACATCCCATAATGTTATTTATAGTTCTCCTAAATTTAGCATATGCTATGGGACAATGCCACTTCCAATGTTATTTGGTAGATCAAGTGGCAGTGAGTATCTGTTAAGGTTTGAACATTGAAACAAGTTCATTATAATTTCATCTACCGTTTTAAAATGTGGTTGTGGTTGCGATTGAGGTTATGGTTTTGGTTAGTGTGATTACAATCATTATGACCGACTATTGTGATATGGGTTGTGACAGTTGCGGTGTGAATTATTGTAATTAAGAAATAATTTTGAATCTGGTGCAATCATATGCTGCGTAGTACGACCTGGTTCGGCCCAATCATAGTCTCATACGATGTTATGTAGTGTTCCACAATTTGAATCATTGAATGCATGAATTGATCAACTTTTTTTACCCACTGCATCAATTTATTTGTACTACAACTTTGTACATCAAAAAAACATATGACCAAGGAAGTGATCAATCATAATAGGGTTTTAGATTTTGAGGAACATTCATAGGGAATCTGACTTTCTGGAAAGGAAAATTAGAAAGTGTAAATACAAAGAATAGGCCGTGAATTATGCTATGTGAGAAAGAAGATACTAGAGCATGTTCTTTTCCACTTGTAAACGTGAAGAAGTTTTAAAGTACACAAAGGTCAAGAACAAGGGTATAAGCAATTTTTCTTAAGTTCAAACATAAATTAATATTCACCACGTTGGTTTACTACTCTAAAACTTTGTTAGATACGAGGATAACCAAAATATTAAGGGTTTGATTTCTTGAGAGAGGCAGTTGCGTACCCTAAAATAGACTTGTATAATGTTAAGAGATTAAGTTTGCAATCATGTCTTTATTAATACGGTATTAGTCATCAAACTAATAAACGTACTAATATGGTGCTATAGTGGATCACTAATTAAATTGGATGCACATGAAATTAGGTACATATATTATTGTAACATTAATGTTAAAGAATGTGACAAATACATACTTTTATTTACACTATTTCTTAAAATAAAATGTGTACTTAGTGGTAGATTATATTTTAGAAGTATAAAGTATAGACAAATATTGTAATTATGTATTTGATGCAATTTTGGTAAAACAAACTTAAGTCACTTTCACTCTCTAATCCCTTTTTAAATTTCTGCCATGATTTTGTTGAGTCATGCATTCAACCTTCTTTGCTTTTGTGTATATAAAAATATGAATAAAAGCCTTTAACTATTAGTCAAATGGAGGGGAAAATTTGTGCTCTGGGGTTGCAGGACAACTTTAAAATGTGTTTTAACAAATGTTAGGTAATTTATTGGAGAATCTATACTTCAGTACTATTCCTATAAAGGCTCTGCATATTTTCAAAGATTCTTTTTTTCTCAAAACTTGATTAGTAGTTCAGGGTGCACAACAATTAGGAGACACCAAAACCATGATGTGCATATCATAGGAGCCCACTACACTCAAACTAAGGCCCAAGGTAATTGATTATGTTGCTAAATGTTCTTTTTTATTTTAAATATATAATGGATGAAGTGGGCATAGTTGGTTAAAAGCTGAGGACCATCTAGTCCCAACCCTAATTTTTAATGTATTTAATCGAATTGACTACTCAGAAGAGACATATCAAAGTATTGCATTATAGATTTTACTTGTTTTCTTGTTTATTTCCTTAGCTTATTAAAACTAGTGCTCTAAAAAATATATCAATCTCCTATCATTTGGTGCTTTAATTTTTGCTCTATGTCTCCCAAAGCTGCAAACAAGGATTTGGATGCCTCTCACAGCATAAAGTTATTGTTGAAGCTTTTCGATCCATTACTGAAAAATTGGCAGGTATGAACTCCTTACCCCACAACCTCCTGAACCCCCAACCTTAAGCTCCTCTTCACACATGACAAACCCTCACCCTACTCTCACGCCCAACCCACCATTCTAAGTCATCTCACCCTCAAACACATCATCACATATAACATCTCCATTTATCCAACCCCTATACCACCCTTCTTCAACTCACACCACTCATACAGCCGACCCAAAATACTCGCAATGCCCTACCAACTCATGGCCCCAACCAAGACCCCCAAAACTACAATTAATATATTTTGATGGATCTAAATTTTTAGACTGGTTGTTTCAAGCTAAACAATTCTTTCAACTTTATCAAGTCCCCCAGACTAACGTCTTTACATAGACGAGTCAACAACCCCATTGTTGAATTTCATAAAGAATGTCACTCTTCTGGTTGATGACTTCCTAAAAACTACATTATTTTGATAATTAACAATTTAAAAGATATATCAAGACTATAATAATATTTCAGCTAATAATGTACACCATTAACAGGTTGTCACGTTTTAATTTAGGTGTCCAATTTTGAGAAAAAGAATTAATTAACAAATTAAAACATATCAACTTAAAGACTACACACCAAGTAACAAAAAAGTTAAGAATGTGAATCTAGTATACATAAAACAGGGTAAAAGAAACTATACCCATGCCATTTTATACCACCCCACATGAAAAACATGCATGGTTCAATATTTAAATTTAAAAAATCAGAAAATATTAGAGGAAAAAGAATACAATATGGACAAGTTGCCTACTAAATTATCAGACTTTGGTCCAACTATCAACTTCATGTGCACTCCTAATTTATTCAGTGAATAACCTTTAAATTACTAAAACAAATCACGTGAAAATGTGTATGTATATTAGGAACTAGATCCTCTCTATTTGTTTTCCATTTATTTTTAATGATATAATTGTATTGTTATCAAAAAGATATATACCGTTAAATGTTGTATTTCTCTTTGATTTTTGAAGCACTTGAATCTTCATTAATTGAGAGGGTTCTAACCGGTATATTATCTTTAGGTGGACATACTTGGTCCACTGAAATTTAAAGATATTTTAGAAGTTGGTTAAGTGGTTGGTGGTTAGGAAGTTAATAGTTAGTCTTGTATTAGTTGCTTGATTTACAAGCTTTCTTTTTCTATTTTTTCTCTTGTATAAATAAGTCAAACTAAACCACCAACCAAAGGTTACTTTGGCAACATATTGCATCAATTGATTCCAAATAATTACCAGACAAAACAAAAATATTATGGGTCCATTACAAAAAAAATATAATCTTAGAATTAAAATTTTCAGATTTGATATCTTTTATGATTAGCAAATCTAATACAGTAATGTAATTCCAAATCAAAAAATATATTACATATATATCAATTCCTAAAAAATAGATGCAATCATAATCAAATACAAAGTATTACCGAAATTCCAAATCAAATATGTTCATGCATATCTTAAAACATATACACTATATATTTGATCAAATCATAATTATATATATAACATATATGCACATATTCAGATTGCATAATATACCAATTATAAATATATATATATATATATATATACATTGTTTCAAACTCAATATATATGACACAAACATATATATATATATAAGAAGACCATATGCAGTGCACTGTGAATTTAGTATACAATGAACACACGTAACTTTAACAACAATGTTATATAATCTTCAATTATTATATATAACTTGAGGCTAAACAAATTTGCAGCCGAAAAACACAACATCAAAAAATTAATTCATATAGAATATACAAATAGTATATATAACCAAATACTTAACCTACACTCTGATACCACTTGTAAGAGTTCTTTTATTAATTGGTGAAACTACCAATTCTAGGATCTTGAATGTCATGATTCTCACACATAATATAAAACATAGATTTCAACCAATGTCATACCTGAATCCATGTTCGCAGATTTGTTCCTTTGTATGCCTTCGTAGAGAGGTTTTGGTATGATGGTCTTCCTCAACCAAATCCTTGATTCCTCTTGGGACCTTCGTTTTTTTCTCTCTGAGAGAGATGAAAACTATGTTTTGATTTAGTGTATTGGGGACCATAACATTCCTGATGTGTTAACTTATAAGTTCTCATTATTCCCCATGGGTTAACTACTTTGGGTATCCACTCATTAAGCCCATATCCATTATCAGATTATTTTTAGAAGTCACAAATAAGATCACTTATTTTATAACCCCGGAAATAAATAGCCGATATAATTGTATTAAATATATGATGTCCACCTTAATTAGAAATTATAAATTTCTAAAATATAGATCTCTAAATTCTCTTCTTCCTCTTGATTTCTAACAGAAAAGATTAATCTCATAGCTACAGAACCTTCTCTGCTGACCAACCATAAGTAAAAGAAATTATTACAAGATTAACGATATCCACCGATAATATATTAATGATTTAAAATTAAATGAATTCATTCTATGAAAAAGAAATCATGTAACGAGGGGATTCTTATTTGTAGAAATGGTATTTCCAACGAGCATGTGTCTGGACCATTGTAGAGTTGTCCTCCTCATCCTATATTTAAAAAGCAGATTCGTATCAGAATTTATAAACCAAATAAAAGAATCTCATTATCTCATATTATGGTGCTCACGACCTATCTCTATGATTGCAATACAGCCATACACGTCCTTATCAAAGTTCCCACCTTCAAATTTTTCTCCTTTTAATTCAACTATTGCTACATCACTCATAACCTGTATTTTTTCATTATCTCACATGCACCACTATCCTAGTTCAGATTTTAATTTATTCTACCATAGTATTGCCTCATATATCTAAGTATAATCAATGCTAGATACAACTTCTTTTTCTTATGAGTACTCCTCTCCTCAAAGGGTACAAGTTCAACATGTGTCTAAGTCTGTATCTGATAGGTTGTTGGAGAAGTTCTATGATGGGTCAAAGTTTGACTTTGATTATGAACAAAGTGGGTTGTGGTCTCCTCCTGTTCCTCGTACAGTGTTCTTGAGTTCACTAGGAAGGATATTCACTGAGCAAGAAATGCTTCAAAGACTCAGAAGTGTAAATGCAAAAAGTCATAGAAGAAAAGCCAGAGTTTGTTTCAGTGTATGAACATACTTT